CCAGTAGCGCCCAGAGCGGCGCTACGGGACCAACCGGCAGCGCCCCAGCTGCTGTACCACAGGCGTCCGGAGCAAAGCTGCCGAGCACGCGGGCAGCGGACAGCCCAGATGCGCCGCGGCTGTCCCGCTGTCGGTGTCCTCAGAGGCTTTGCTTCCCGTCTCCCTGGTCTGCTGGTCTCCAGCAGACCAGGGAGATGGGCAGCAAACCCCGTTCGTAACTGCGGATCCGACATAAGTCGGATCCGCGTAACTCGGGGACTGCCCGTACATCCTAATTATCAGAAAATGGGTTAGAAAGTTACCTCTTATACCTATTAAATTTTGCATTCTCCAAACCAAGACATATGGACTAGCTGATTTTCCTTTAGACAACAACACATAATTCAGCTTCCGAAGTAATGTAGAGATTGATGACAAATTGGGAAAATGAAAAAAATATTTAAGAAATTTAGGGTCTGTATTAAAAACGCACCTGAAAAAACTTTTGAATTGTAGAGCGTCTTCTATGTCTATAATTTACTCCTGGTTCCATTCATGCTTACCAGAAAGAATTCATGTAATGAAATACCCAATTTGGCCAAATACATGTGAAATAAGGTTTGAGTCTTATTTAAAGCAGTTACTGAGAATTTGCATACAAGATCAATAGATATAATAGAAAGTTTTCACTTACATTTTATATCTGCATACAAATGGCTGACTGTAAATCGGTCTTTGCCTTCAGGTGCCCAGGCTATCCTTTCAGCCATAAGGTAGAGAGCCCCATCCTGTTTCTTTTGACGCACTTTCTTTACTATCAGTAACACTTCCTCAGATGATGTTGCCATGACGACTAAAGTGCTATTAAAAGTATATGATACAGTTAGTTATTTAATTCAATAGTAATTAATCTTTCTACTGACAGATTTTTCCAGTATTCCAACTTGTTACAAGAGGTCAAAACTTGTATTTGCACTTTAATACTTACATTCTGTAAACTAACAGCAGCATACAGTTCAAGCCTTATCAGAGAAACATTTCATACATATAGTTAAACTTTTTTCACATTAAATAAAATGTAGTCACATACAGCCATATAATACTTAGATTTCTTTTCCAATCCTCCTTGTTCTCCAGCTGTACCTACATTTCAACTAATTCCTACATTGTCTATTTCTCTTTGTAGATTTCTTTACTGGTTTGTCACATTGTGAAGTCAGTTTACCTCAGAGAGCACGTACACTACAAATCTCACGGGGCATTTCACAGTGCTTTCTTTCCATGAAAGAAACTTTTTATGTTCAAACTACTTGGAAAGGGAGGGGGATGAAAATATCAGTAGACTTACAGGTTTTTTTTGCAACTGTTTACACCTTGTAAGTAAAGAGAGGAATCAGGTACTTTCCCTTTCCTTCAGCACAATCCACCAATTACCCATACAAGACGGGAATGAGACTGACACAATATCAGTTTGAACTGACCTATTTATTTTGTTCCAAAATACTTAGGATTTCATCTTGCAACCACAGAAAAGAATGAGAGTTTTGTCATTGATGTCAATAAGTCCTTTTGTAATTGGGAAGGAGGATAACAGGAGTATCAATCTTTTTTCCTTTACAGTTTTTTCAATCTTAATTTTCTCAAGGGAATTGATAAATAGTAACATATGAATCTTGCTATACTCCATCACAACACACTGCACACCTATCAGAATGATTGCATTTTTCAGTATTATGTTGTTTAAATGTTATATACCCATCCTACTCCTGGGCTACGTCTACACTGGCCCCTTTTCCGAAAGGGGCATGTTAATTTCAGAGATCGTAATAGGGAAATCCGCGGGGGATTTAAATATCCCCCGCGGCATTTAAATAAAAATGTCCGCTGCTTTTTTCCGGCTTTTAGAAAAGCCGGAAAAGAGCGTCTACACTGGCCCCGATCCTCCGGAAAAATAGGAATAAGATCCTCCGGTTTAAATATCTCCCGCGGCATTTAAATAAAAATGTCCGCTGCTCTTTTCCAGCTTTTAGAAAAGCCGGAAAAAAGCGGCGGACATTTTTATTTAAATGCCGCAGGGGATATTTAAATCCCCGCGGATTTCCCTATTACGATCTCTGAAATTAACATGCCCCTTTCGGAAAAGGGGCCAGTGTAGACGAGCCCCTGTAGTTTATCTGCTATGTACCTTACAGCCCACTCCTAGCATTTCTACCAGTGTATTGAGTAGGTTTAGAAATCCTTTTAATAAAATGTAAATGTGTGTATTCAAAGTAACTGCTAATATCTACATCAGAACTTTAAAAGAACATCTGTACCATATTTTACCACATATTAGGTATAGATAACAAATCAATATACATATCAATTTACACATACGTATGGGTATTTTTATCTGCATTTTAAATGCCATACAACTTTGAAAATGAAAATCTGTTTTAAACTTGAACATCTATATGGATAATCCCTAATGACCAGTAAGTATTCTGCTCAGTGAAAATATTATACGCTGAGCAATCAGACAAGCTTGTTCAGTACAATATTTATGGGAGAAGATGTTTAGTAGTAAGATGTATTTGCACTTAGGCTTTCAGCCAAATGAACAATTTTTCTATTGACTTCAATATTGCAATATTGGGCACTTACATGATTTCTGCCTGTTTGTGACAAAACTGTGGTAATCCCTAGAATACTTGGTTTTTAGAGTGCTATAGCTAGAGAAATTGTGGTAATACTTTGTTTCTGAGGAAAACAGATATTTATGAAGACAATTTCAAAGTAGCATCCAAGATACTCTGTGCCATTTCCTGTACCTCCCAATACAAATATTTTTTCATGGTACACAAGCCTGAAGAACAACCATCTCATTTAAAATTATTTCTGGCTCTTTAGCCTCTGTAGGGCTCTTTGCGCTGCTGGAAGGTAGAGATTTGGTCACAGAGTGACACTTCAAAGTTTTCTTTTGATAGTGTGGACTTGAACATTTATCTCACTTGTTATTTTAAAACTATATTCCCCAAGCTTATTACAGATGAAAGAGAGCACAAATGCACTAAAGGCAATGGACTTCATATCACACTGAATTGAGATGAACGAAAAGCATTTTCATGCTTAAGCTTGTGCACTGTTATGCTCTCTCAGCTAGGCTGTGTTTCATTTATATAGAACTAGTCTTCCAAATAAAAAAAAACAAAAATCAGCTCTTATATAGAACTAGTCTTCCAAATAAAAAAAAAAACCAAAAATCAGCTGTTACTGATTTTTCTAATAAAGACTTAATGTTTCTGGCACAGTACTTTGCAGTGTGCAGCTTCTGAATGCATAATATCCCATAAGTGGTTTGTTCCATTGTCTGGGAAACTGAATGCACTAACACAGTGCTCTTCTGTTCTTTTTTGGTCATTGCTGCTACTTTTGCTTTCATGCCTTGATAATAACCACACTTTAAAGATGATAGCTGACATAGCTCTGTCTGCAAACTGCTCATAAGTAGCAAACCTTATCCAAGATCAGAGAGAAAAATTGAGTCCTCTTTAAACATTGCATTAAGGATCAAAATATTTCACTAATCTGGGGTTTAAAAATACTATATGCCAGGGCTACGTCTACACTGGCAGCTTCTTGCGCAAGAGTTCTTGTGCAAAAAATCTTCCACAAGAAAGTGTCTACACTGCCATGTCCTTTTGCGCAAGAGATGTGATTTTGCGCAAGAGCATCCATGGCAGTGCAGACGCTCTCTTGCGCAAGAAAGCTCTGATGGCCATTTTAACAATAGGGGCTTCTTGTGCAAGAAATTCATGTTGCTTGTCTACACTGCCCTTTTGTGGAAGAGCTCTTGTGCAAGAGGACTTATTCCTTTTCTGGAAGAAGCCCTGTTTTACAATGGTATACTGTAAATTTACTTGCGGAAGAACACTTGTGCAGTGTAGACAGCAGGCAAGTTTTTGCTTAAGAACAGCTGTTCTTGTGCAAGAAGCTGCCAGTGTAGACGTAGCTCAGGGCTACTCAACACGTGGCCTGCAGCCCGTTTGTTTGTGGCCCACGGTGTGGTTTGGGTTTATGCGGGGCTCAACACACGGCCCGCGGGTGGGATCCTTTGAACATGGCCTCCATTGGAAACATGCTCCACAATGTCAAGTCAATATAATGGTCTTCTGTTGATATGCGTTTTAGTAGTTAAATTCCTGGACTGTCATTGCTCATTAAAAGTGCTGTCATATGGGTGGAAATGGGGTAAATATTGAATTTTATTAGTATCAGCAGAACTGACTTACATAAGGATATAAGAATGGCCATAGTGGGTCAGACCAAAGGTCCATCTAGCCCTGTATCCAGTCTGCCGACAGTGGCCAATACCAGATGCCACAGAGGGAGGGATCACAACTGGCAATCTTCACGTGATCCCTCCCCTGTCACCCACCTCCTGAGAAAGAGACTAGGGATACCATTCCTACCCATCCTGGCTAATAGCCATTGATGGACCTAACCTCCATACATTTATCTAGCTCTTTTTTGAACCCTATTAAAATTCTAGCCTTCACCACATCCTCTGGCTAGGAGTTCCACAGGTTGACTGTGTGCTGAGTGGAAAAAAACCCACTTCCTTATGTTTGTTTTATGTCTGTTGCCTATTAATTTCATTTAGTGACCCCTAGTTCTTATACTGTGGGAATAAGTAAATAAATGTTTCTTATTTCTTTCCACATCAGTCATGATTTTATAGACCTCTATCATAGCCCCCCCTCCTTAGTCTCCTCTTTCTAAGATGAAAAGTCCAAGTCTTTTTAATCTCTCTTCATATGAGACCCGTTCCAAACCCCTAATCATTTTTGTTGCCCTTTTCCGAATCTTTTCCAATGCCAATATATCTTTTTTGAGATTCAAGATGTGGGCGTACCATGGTTTTATGTAGAGGCAATAAGATATTTTCTATCTTATTCTCTATCCCTTTTTTAATGGCTCCTAACATTCCATTTACTTTTTTGAATGCTGCACACTGAGTGGATGTTTTCAGAGAACTATCCTCAATGACTCCAAGATCTCTCTCTTGAGTAGTTATAGACAAATTAGTCCCCATCACATTGGAAAATATAATGTCAAATACATATACAATGTGCTTTACATTTATCAACTTTAAATTTCATTTGCCATTTTGTTGCCCAATCACTTAGTTTGATGAGATCTTTTTGAAGCTCTTCACAGTCTGCTCTGGTCTTAACTATCTTGAGCAGTTTGGTATCATCTGCAAATTTTGCCACCGTTTACCCCTTTCTGTAGATCATTTATAAATAAGTTGAATAGGATGGGTCCTAAGACTGACCCTTGGGGGACCCCACTGTTACCTCCCTCCACTCAGAAAGCTTAACGTTTATTCCTACCCTTTGTTTCCTGTCTTTTAACCTGTTATCAACTCAGGAAAGGCCCTTTCCTCTTATCCCATGTCAACTTACTTTACTTAGAGCCTTTGGTGGGGGACTTTGTCAAAGGCTTTCTGGAAATCTAAGTATAGCATATCCACTGGATCCCCCTTGTCCACGTTTGTTGATCCCCTCAAAAAACTCTATTACATTAGTAAGGCATGATTTCCCTTTACAGAAAGCATGTTGACTTTCTCCCAACAAATTATATTCATCCATGTGAATATAAATGGGACCTGTGTGTTGTGTAGTCTTGCCTTAATCTTGTATTCATGCCCATCAGTGTGAAAGAAGCTATTTGCATATATTTGTATATATATTTGCATTTCTATGCAGCCACACTTGAGTTGCAGCCCTCAGCATGTGCTGAGAGTATCATTGTGGCCCCTGGGGCTTCCAAAGTTGATAGTTGCTATATGCCTACTATCTAATAAGACAAAATGGGTCTACTGGTTAGGTTCAGAGGCAATACCAAAAATATAGATCTAACTGATTTTCCTATAATAGCTGATGGAAGGATGCTCTGTTGTGCCATCTCTGGATAACAAGAGTCTATTGA